AAAGGAAATACTCATTCCACTAGTAAAATACATAAGGATTATTCAAAAATTAATGTAGTATTCGGGCTCTATTGAGCGCAATGTATTTATGTTCAATTGTGACTGATTTGATCTTGTTCCAAATCAAGGAACAAAAAAATAAAGCCATATGACATAATTGAAGTTAAAATGAACAAAAGAAATATCAAATTTGATCCATTTGTTCTAGCACGTCAAACTAGTCAGATATAATACTTTGGATAACCTAGTAAAACAAGAGAAACATGACTGAACAGTGATTATCAAGACTGGACGAAAAACGACCATTGAAGTCCAAACTGTTGTTTAACCTAAACATCAGAAGAAAAAAATATAAAATTTTTGTATTCATCTTGATTATATTCAGGAAAGGGATATCTTAGTAGATGTTACTACTGCATATGAAGTTAATTATGATGTGGATGAGTTTGATGATGATATAGAAGAGGGAATTTTAAATATAACCTTTATACACTCGTCCAATTAATCATTTCCAGGTTTTATCTTTTGTACCATCTGTTCCGGTGTTTCATGCATCTACTTCTATTAATTCCTATTTTCACTATTGTTATTTTTTATCTTTTACTTATGTTAGCTTCCTTCGTTACTTCATTTTTTTATGCTTTTATGTTTGTTATTTTTTTCTTATAATTATTCTGATCAATTTACTTTTTTTGTTACAGACCATGGTCCTGGGAGACTAGTTGTCTCCCCCAGTTCCTTTCAAAGGAAGAAGAGGGGTGACTTCACAACCAACTTTGTAGACAGGAATCATTATGACAGTCACCACTTCAACCGCCAAATTGATGCTCGCCAGGCCATTACTCCAACTTCAGTTACATCTCTCCTACCACACCCCTAACTCATGCCACACTAACACCTTCATCCTCCTTCGAAGCAAGCCCCTCTACTTTTGTCGAGCTTGTTATTATGGACGCGACATAATAAATGTACATTGAGCCGGATAGACATTCATAAGTAATTTAAATTATAATAATTGAAATTATTTTCTATTACATTATCCAGCTAGATTTTTTTTGCAACTTTTATCCATTCAAGCGGTCAGTCCACAAAATCATAGAGAAAATCAAATGTAGGAATAGTGCTTCGTATTTGTCGTGGATGAGGATCCAGATTGAGATTCAGAATGTGGTTCAGAAAGTTCAAGGTAAAACTAAATAATTTTGAATTACATTAATAATCTCAAGTTAATCTTTTTTTATAATAACAAACATTGTTTGATTTTTGTTTTAATGAAGAACTTCTGGTGGAATACTGAGCATCATCAATAGATTTGGAGACAATTCGAGACCCGAGGCTAAAGCCACTTGCGAGATATGTTCATTGATCTTCTCAAGAAGTGGCATGCTTATCTGGATGGGTGAGGAAGCCTGGGCCTAGTTGCCTAGAGTATGATCCAGCATAACCAAAACTTAGACTGTGGGGGTATGTGTACCTATTTTCACAGCGGAGGCGCAGTTTCTCATACTGAATGCAAAAAGAGTATGATAAGAATTATTCTTTACATTAAAATGACTTTTATAGTTACTTTTTCCTAATTTTTTTATATGTTAATAAAAACTGATGCATGATAAGAGCCCACAGCTGTTGAGTTACACACTTGCAAACATCAAACATCATGCGGACACAGGTGCGTCAACAACAAATCTCACCATGTCCCATGTAAATTGAATACTATTTTATTTATTTGTGAAATTTATTTATAATTTTATTTCAATGTTAATTATCCTTTATAATCTTTAGTAGGATAATTAAGTGCGTCTGAAGGAGTCCCCGGAGCCCAGTAGAAGTTGGTAGCTCTAGCGGTCAATCTGACTGCTTAGAGTTAGAGATCTGGAAGTAAGCTGCTGACGGGAGAAGGAAGGGGATAATCTATGATCTTGACGCAAATAAATTTGTCTATGAGGTGCAACACTCCGATTCCGGCCAAAGGTCATCATTGATTGAAGACAATCTGCAAACAGGTGGTCGCACTGATCGAGAAGTTGTGAACCATCTTCGCTGCTAAGGTACATGAGATGGAGTCTAGGAAGTGCCATGCACGTGGCCGTGGCAAGCAATCTTTGGTTGAGGAGGATTAGCAACACAATTAACATTTTTTTTTTACTGAAGACTATTGTACTATATGATTTGTTGATATTTGTTATATATTTGTTATATTTGCTATGATTTCATTCAATCATGTTATATATCTGTTCTTTTACGTTGTCAATGAGATGTTATGAGATGCTAGCTCTTTTCTTTTATGATTGCATAAATAGAATTTCATTGGTTATGAACCATATTTAATGTTTTCTCTTGCTATAGTTTTCCGGTTGATTAACAATTGCATTTTTCAACCGCTAATAATCCAGAGTTTGAAAATTCAGGGTAACGGTTAGCAGATGAAAAATTCAGCTGATAACGCCTTTAAGACATAACTTTTACTGACAAAATTCAGCCGGAATTTAACTTGTAATAAGGTTTACTGATTGAAAAAGAAGTGGATTAACTAATTTGTCAGTTGATAATCATTTAATTTCCAGTAGTGTTTGGTTTAAGACTTGGGGGCATATTGATAATAGAATCCCCACTAATGGATATTTGTTTTTAATACGATCATAATCAACATATTTGAATGATCTCATTTTGTAGCTTTGGATATTATCAATTTTGCTTGCTTGTAGAAGATTAGGTCCATAACTTGCATGCACATGCACCATTTAAATATAGTTAAATACAAACATTGTGGACTTTACCATGTATGTAGAAGATCGAGCTTGTAATAATAATATTTCAGGTAATAATTAACTAAATTTTTTTCCAAGAAATTTAATAAATTATTTAGTGAAATAGATCAAATATATCAATAATAATTAAAGATTAAATAAATATAAATAAGTTTAGATTTAATAAACAAATTAAACAATGAAATGTTAATTAATAATATTAAATGAAATCTAAATTAACCTTAAAAAAAGAACAAAAAAAAAAGGAAATGGCATTGCATGCAACTTAGTGCTTTAAATAATCGAGGGCTTGATGCCCTCAGTCGCACAAAATAGAGAGGGAGATAGAGTAGGCGAGATGAGGAAAAGAGATGGCAAGCGAGAGAGGGATCAAATGAAAGGGAGAAACCGCATAAGCTAACAATCTAGGGTGGTGGTCGATGTACAAGCTAAGAGAATATTATGTGTTGTGATAAGTAGACAGATACAAACAACCTCCACAACTAAAACATATTGAAATGAATGAAAACATTACCAGAAACAACTTGATTATTATTTAAATACTGTTTTTGGTACTACATTTACTTCATGTTTCTTGTACTTTTATGTATTTAAGCATATCAATATTCCTGTTGTTAATCATAGTAGCCATTGACTAGAATATATGTCGTTACTTTCATCTTTATTGAATCTTGTTTTAGTAATGAGTATCTCACTTTGTCTGTGGTTCATCTGCTATGATGATATTATTTTCCATAGAGGTAAAGAGCAGAGAAACAATTAACCAGATGATTTGACTTTTGTATAGCTTTTGAATTGTAAAGATTTTTTAATGACTTTTTGGGTACGCATGTTTTGATATTGAAGTATTTAATAGCTTTGCATATGATTTGAGATTTATTTCTAAGCGGTGGATGAAATGAAATATATAAATTTATTTTCGACTGTTTAGTGAAATCAATCATCTACTTAATTAGTCATGATTTGTGTACATTAGGATGAGTATTGGCAAAAATTGCGTCTATACAGCCCGAACTCTCACCCATCAAGGTATTGTCCAGTTTAGCCTAACAGCCTCACGATTTTGCCCCATTGGAGTAACTTCACAGGAATGCTCCATCACGAGCACACTTAACTTTGGAGTTTTTTTATCGAAATTCCACACACCAAAAGGCGTCATGATATTTAAGAGTTCAACTTCAATCTACTCAAGGGTTTTCACAATATTTAATCTGAAGTAGGGTAAATTGTGACAACCCGAACTCTCACTCATCAAGATACACTTTAGTCTAATGGTCTTACAACTTTGCTCCATTGGTGTGACTTCCAAGGAGGTCATCCATCCTATGAATGCTCCAACACTAGTTTCTTATCGAAAGTCCACCATTACACCAAAAGGTCCATCGATGTTTAAGAGTTCGGCTTCAATCTACTTAAGGAGTTTCACAATCTCTCCCACCTAAGTACCTGATATCCTCGTTAGTGATCTATACTCAAAATCATTCACCACGAAGATAAGACTCTAAGGTAACCCCTACAGAGTAAAAAGGTGACTCCCACTAATAGCACTTTGTCGCATCGAGGGTCCAAGAGGTGTGACCCCATAGTGTAGCACTTTATTTTGTATGACACTAAATTCCATCTTCCGACTAGTGTAATGCTTTGATACCATTTATGATAGCTCGAACAATCACCCACCAAGATATTGTCCAGTTTGGCCAAAAGGTACCTCAAAGTTTTAGAATTTGACTTCATTATACTTGAGAGGTTTCACTGAGCCTACATGAATCATCCATCTTTGTTACACCTATGTTTGACATGAGGGGGACAACTTAGGTGTGACCCATGTAAAGGATATGGCTCCACCTCCCTGTTGCAGCCCAAGCAAGAAGGACAATCAGCCCAATCAGGACCGTTCGCCTATACCAGATTACATCCAACCGTCCATTTAATAACAAACTCTTTACCTGTCTTTTCTATATATATGTTTCCCTGTAATCTTGCTAGGATACTGAAATATTTTACATAATAGATAAATTTAAGAGCCAAGTTCATCTTCAACAGCTAAAAACAAATTCAGGCAACAGAAAATAATCTCTATTCCGTCTAATGCTTTCTGCAGTCAGATACCAGTGATATTTTCAAAGTATCATCAAGTTAAAATAGCCAGAGTAATACCAAGTTTTTATGGCATACTCAGCAATCTTAATTCAAAAAATCAATGTAGCCATCTCTTTTTGGTTATTATGTTACCTGAACTTGACTTTTATAAGTATGCCATACTTGTCATAATCGACATCATGTTCATCTGTAACACCACAGGGAAAAAAAATATTAAACTTTTTTAATAAGTAAATTGGCAAAGACAAAAGACCACAATATGATACCCAAACAAACTTCGCCAGCAACTGCCATCTCTTGAAAATTGCGACTGAAAGTCTCATTAATCTTCCCAACAAGGTTTTGCAATGTTGGCAGCCACTGATCCTACATGATGCAATTTACATAGTTCATGTTAAAACAAAATGCCCTCCCACAAACAATGAACAAAAGAGCTGAGCAAAATTAGCAAAAGACAACTGAAATATATTGATATGGTGGACATTAGGTTGTTATTCTTCACAAAACCAGTCAGAAGTACAAAAAAACATACAATTTCGAGCTAATGGGTTTTAAAGATAAAATGAAAAGCCCCTTCACATGTGACTAACAGCCATGCAGGCACAAATCAAGAACAAGCTGAAGTTTGGTTTTGCCTGTCTGTTAATTTTTCTGAATTCTGTGCTATCATTTGTTGAAACTAACGATTTGAACCCTTACGTTTTATATGTTCCATTATTTTGATCCTTCATAATATTTTGACTATTTATAAGTCCAATCATGTAGAACATGACCCAAAAAAAAAAAAGATGTAAACTAGGCCTAGTGCATCTTATGCTACCTGCATTTTGCATTAAAAAAAATACAACTGTCATTTTCTTTTTCCCAAAAATCATATTTCCCGCAGAAAGCCGAGCCTTTCATCATTTATACCAATATTCCACAAGACATCAGCCAGAGACAGCTTCTATGCAGAAGGGCAAACTAATCAATCTGTTATCTCGCCCAAACAATGTTCCCACTAATTCCATAGGAATTGGTTATGATCTATTTCAATTAACTGTTAGCATTGATTTTATTTTGAATATGATGGCAGGATTTGTAGGAGTTATATATATTTCAATGCAGATGATTTTACGCTGTAAAATTTAAATTTATAAATATGGGTTAAAAGGGCATGGGCATTATTTTGATTTGATTAATGATAAATCGAATTTGGAAAGAATCTATCCCCTATATTGCCAATCACTCCTACAGTTTGCTTTCTCTCTCCTCTTCATTATCTCTCACCCAATGGGTCTCTATGATGGGAAACAGACTTCTATGTCAATTTCTCTCCTCACGCCCCTTGTAATTTTTTATTACAACAACATGCATACAAGGGTTCCTAATTCTCTCACATGTTTCCTTCTCACAGAAAACCAAAATTGCTAGGAGGCACCTAGTTGGCTTCTTCAAGAAAATGACTAACTCTTTTCCATCTCCAAAATTCCTCCAGAAATCAAGCAAAATTAAGAAGGCAGAAAAAGAAATTATAACAAAATGATCTATAGCTCAAGATCTGCATCACAAAAAGCTAATAGCAAGTTGACATCCATTACTTCGGCGAGCCCTCGACAATAAAGGCCAACTAGATTACCTGTACTTCACAAGAATATTCCGTTTTTTTTTTTTTGCTAACATTAATAACAGACTTAACAAAAAAAGACCAACTGTTCAATTTTTAACACCAAAATAACCAAATGGGATAACATCAAAAGTATTTGAGCCTAACAAAAATATAAATTGAAATAAATATAACCAAACTTAAAAATGACCATAAGATTTGCATTTATTGCATAAATAAAAAGAAATGATATTTTTTGTATAAATGGGCGATTTTAAGTTATCATTAAGTCTCAATTGATTTATCAGGCTTTTAAAACTCAAATGGATTCATAGAATAAACTAGAACTTTTTGAGATAATTCAATCTTGAAATCTTTTTAAGAAATCTTTAAAAAGAATTTGGAAAAACAAACTTAGTTTGATTGATTGACTTAATCTAGCTTTGTAGGGCAAGGTGGCCCAAAGCTATATAGCCAAAAACACTTTATTTGACTTAAGAGAGATAAGGAACATGATGAAAGAATGGTGGGGATTACATGTCTTCGCGAAATACTGAACTAGCTAATGAAAGGCTACCTTCAAGGATAAGTGAGCTAGATGTCATTTGTCTGTGCACTTCTTCCATTTCATTGTTATCACAAAGCGCTACTGATGTCAAATGTTGACTCACTAGCAAATACCATCTTTATTGAGCATCATTTCCATTGTGCATTTGATCTTATATTGAAAACTATATGAATGATTATCTCTCTTCTCTCCATACAATTCAATTCTATTCAAACTTAAGCCGCCAGAACATTGCTCCAAAAGATATCTTTGAAGGCCCAAGCTTTCCTAAGAGCAGGACAATTACGTAGATAGTGAAGGACAAAGGGGAGGCAATGAATGAGAGAAAGAGTAAAGAAGGGAGGGGATAACCCAGAGAGATCACGCGAGAGATGGAACTAAGATGTAAGGTGTGCAAGAGAAGGAATGGGATGTAAAGAGAAATGAGAAATCAAAAGAGCACGAGTAGATGTGTATGAAAGAGAGAGAGAAGAATGAAGAGAGAAATAATGAGAAAGAGAGAGAAAGTAAACAAAGGTGGATGAGGTAGTTGTGAGCAATATCCAATAATCCTTCAAACTATCAAACTGGTAAAATTGAATTACCAATTGAATTGCCTGATGATAATTGTATATAAACTTTGCCAACCATATCCTTCACTCATCATTACTAACCCCAACACCACCATGGCATTATTTAAGGCGAAGTAAATTGACATATTCAAGAAGCATGATTACACCTGATTACAAGCATAAAAAACAGTTTGTAAGCTACACAATTCTTCTTTCTCGGAATAAATTTCATGAATTTAACTATATTTCATGAAGCACATAAGCGCCTAGTTATGCAAAATTATTATTATGGTTTAGATAGTAGTGAAATGTAAAACCCGCATAATTATAAAAACCTAAAACATCATTTATTGAACTAAGTGGCATCATCATCAGTATGGCCAATAATGATCGGACAAATAACTGTCCATAAGTATTAAACGATGCCATTGATGAATTATAAAATTATCATGCATAGACTACTCTCATGAATATACATATATAGAGAACTTATTCGTACCAAGAGTCAACTCAAGATTTAATTTTTAATTTTTAAACGACACCACTGATGTCAAATGTTGATTCACTAGCAAATACCATCCTTATTGAGCATCATTTCCATTGTGCATTTGATCTTATATTGAAAACTATATGAATGATTATCTCTCTTCTCTCCATACAATTCAATTCTATTCAAACTTAAGCCGCCAGAACATTGCTCCAAAAGATATCTTTGAAGGCCCAAGCTTTCCTAAGAGCAGGACAATTACATAGATAGTGAAGGACAAAGGGGAGACAATGAATGAGAGAAAGAGTAAAGAAGGGAGGAGATAACCCAGAGAGATCACACGAGAGATGGTACTAAGATGTAAGGTGTGCAAGAGACGGAATGGGATCTAAACAGAAATGAGAAATCAAAAGAGCACAAGTAGATGTGTATGAAAGAGAGAGAAGAATGAAGAGAGAAATAATGAAAAAGAGAGAGAAAGTAAACAAAGGTGGATGAGGTAGTTGTGAGCAATATCCAATAATCCTTCAAACTATCAAACTGGTAAAATTGAATTACCAATTGAATTGCCTGATGATAATTGTATATAAACTTTGCCAACCATATCCTTCACTCATCATTACTAACCCCAACACCACCATGACATTATTTAAGGCGAAGTAAATTGACATATTCAAGAAGTATGATTATACCTGATTACAAGCATACAAAACAGTTTGTAAGCTACACAATTCTTCTTACTCGAAATAAATATCATGAATTTAATTATATTTGATGAAGCACATAAGCACCTAGTTATAAAAAATTATTATTATGGTTTAGATTGTAGTGAAACGTAAAACCCGCATAATTATAAAAACCTAAAACATCATTTATTGAACTAAGTGGCATCATCATCAGTATGGCCAATAATGATCGGACAAATAACTGTCCATAAGTATTAAACGACGCCATTGATGAATTATAAAATTATCATGCATAGAATACTCTCATGAATATACATATATATATAGAGAACTTATTCGTACCAAGAGTCAACTCAAGATTTAATTTTTAATTTAATCTGGATTTATCTTGTAACACTTTTTCCAAGTTCAGGTTGAACGGTTATTCTTTAGTTTTATTAATGAATAATAAATTAATTATTATAAAAAATTCCCTCTTAACTATTCTCTCTCAGCTCTATCATTCCTATAATTCTCTTCATTCCACTGGGTAGCAAGTCCCTTTCACATCTCTCTCCTGATCTCTATTTGAAGAAAAATAAAATTTCCAAGCCCTCTTTGCTTTTTTTTAGATAGCTTTACCAAAACTCATGTTATAGTAAAACTGAAGTAATCAAGTATTAATTTCTCTAAAATTCCTCCTTTCTGCAACTCTCTCATATGTAAAAGCAGAAATCAAGCAAATCAAAGGTATTCAAAAAAACAAGAAAAAGAAAATAAATAATATATTCATCGTCAAAGTTCTTATTCATCAAATTGGCACTAAAACAATTCTTCCTCTACATCACTATTGCTGCAAATTATTTGTTTTTCATAATGTTTATTATGCCATCCACCAAGAAAAAAAAGATAATAGTTTTATGTTCAAGGTTGGTTTAGTTTGAATTTGTTCAACAAAGATATGTATCCCTTGCTTACTTGTTCATAGCGGAATGGCATGCATATTAATTATTGATTCATACATTCTTATGTTTCTAAATTATATCACGTGGATAAGCATCAAGAGGACATTGCCATAACCCCATTTTCTTAAGATAAAATGCTATGCTGGGATAAGCATCAAGAGGACATTGCCATAACCCCATTAATTTCATGCAGTTCTTATTTGGTTGATTACATTAAGTTTCACAAAAGCATATCAATAAAATTGCAAAGAAGTTGAAGATAACACCTATCAAGGCTTACACTCATAGTATTATCAGTGAACAAATTGTCCTGATCAAAGGCAAACCAGATGAACTAGTGAATCACATCAAAATTGAAGATTTCTCATGCTTTCAAGTTTCAGCTAAACAGGTAGCGAATTATTATAATGAAGTGCTTTCTTGACGTTTCGAGAATGGAGGGGGAACCATGTGGAACGACAAAACAATTACAAAATCATATGTGTGCTAAATGAAACATCAAAATCATACTAGGCAAACAGAAAAAAATCAAGTAGAAGGGCAAAAATTCCATGCTAATAGATGGAAGTTTGATTTTACACATCAAAATCTTCACTCTATCTACCTAAGAACAAAACAAATGCCAAATCAAACTATAAGAAGCTCTCACCCGGACAACATTTATTTCAGACACGCAACTCCTTAGGGCTGCTTCATCTGCTTCTAGTTTTGTTGCTATGCTACTTATCTGCATGAAATATCAAAATTGCTTAAAGAAAACAACCTTAAACATATGGAGAGAGCACATTCAATTCACCTTTTGTTGACGACTTTCATACTCCTGAAGAATGTTTTGGTTAAGAAATAAGATAGAATTTGCTTCAGAAATACCATCTTGAATTGCAGTTTCCAGTTCCTCTACCGTAGCAGGCATCTACAAAAATGCGAGTGAAAAATGAGTTTCGATAAAGCTCAAACGGTGTAATCATATGTTTGAATGTGCCTTTTCCACCTTACCAAAAGAAATGCTGAGTAAGAGATCAAAGCAACGAGTAATGGAAAAGCAGGAAACATGCAATCATATAAAAAATAAAAAAATTTAGTAAGCACTATACAGGTTAACTTCCATTTACACAAGCAACTGGTAATTTAAGTTTAATGGATAACGACAAGCAGTAAGAACGGAATGCAAAGAAATCACAAGTGCATGAAACAGCAATGGGAGAAAATCTGAAATGATGTAGAAAGAACACTACTGCTGAAAAAAACTGACCCTACTAAATTTCAAATTAGTACTATAGATTCCGGAATTGATTTGTACTGTCAAAACTCAACTTTGGACATCTATTCATGCCTCTGATACGAAAGTTACGAGAGTGTAGATCAGAAAGTTAGTAGCACGTGGAGGCAAAGGTAACAACCTGTGCTTGCTAGGCAGAAATCTTTTAGACCATCAGCATATGAAAAAGGAAGCCACACCAAGAACTCACCAATAAGGCATCAATGATAGTAGTGGCTTGTCTAGAAACAAGAATGGTGTGATTGGAGCTCGTTTTAAAAGGCTCAATCAAGCCTGCATTGGGTGGAAAGAAGCAAACGAGTCATGTTGGGAGCTTTCTACAGAAGACACTCGATGGATACAAAGGCTGTTAACAAAAAGAGGAGTTCATAGACTTGCACATTTAAGGTAAATCTTTTTAAATCAAGCCACTCTTTCTCTCTCAACAAATTACCCAAAAAAACAAAAAACAAGAAAAAAAGAAAATGAAAGAACAAGAGAAAAATGGTCCTGTGCACACATTGTTGTCATCTCATCGACACACAGTGTGCGTCGGTATAATGCAAAAGCAAACCAATTGCCCCAACTTCTAAGTACCCATGTGCATCCTACCAACATAGTAGAGAAAATACATTGCTTGCATAAATTTTCTCATGCAAGCGAATACCACCGCACTACTTTTATGGTATGGTGGTAGCAATATCTATACACACATTCTTTGGAGCGGTGGAAGACGAAGACATGCAAGTGCTCATACACATTTTCTTAATGCGATAAGAAAATCAGTTTGCAAATCTTTCATGCCGGTACATGAAGAACAAATACATCTTCTTTGACATGGTGAAAGTAGAAGATCCAACTGTGGTGTCTTAGAATCCACCCATTTATGCCTTCTTTTGGTGTGGTGAACAGGCCTATACTCCTAATAGAAACTCTATGCGAGGTGGAAACTGAGTGGTTGTCAAACTTTTCAATAACATGACTTGAAACTTACACGAGGCAAATAATTTTCTAGACTAAAAACACTACTTACCGAACACTAGAATTGACATACAAGTCATCTCAAAAGAGTTGAAAGAACCAGAATTGAATAAAAAAATCAGACCATGAACTAAACTCATGAGGAAGTTAGTCGCTTGCTTGAGAGCAAGAACATAAGAGCTGCATTGCAACCAGAACTCTTAGAATTCTCTGAACTGAATTGGCTATGGAAACAAAATTCAACAACTCCTATTCATAATTAGGGAACATATTCTCAATGGGGCCAATGGGGCAAATTTAAACAAAACACGGATTACATATAGGTTGCTCACAATGCTTTGAACATTTAACAAACATTGAAGCCCTTAAAAATTCTAAAGAATCTGCAAATCAACACAAGCAAGTAAATATATAAATAAAGAACTCAAATGCAAAAACACATGCGACTTGCAAGGATGGTACATTCATATGAACGATGGCCACAAAAAGAGTTTGCACCTTTCAAATGATCACGTGAATGAGAGAACCTTTGCAATTAATATAATATTCAAATCCATTGCGTACAGCAAACTACACAAGTGCCTTGAGCAACATGAGCATCAATATCTAAAAGTCAACCATGCATGTCTTGAGTGATGGTTACAATCCTGACCAACAAAATATTCTTGTACAAAAAAGACATTTCAAATATCATAAGTGGTTCCCTGCAGTGTTTCATGGGTCACACGATAATTTCAAATCACCAAAATAAAGTTTGTATGCATATATACTAATGAGCGTCTTAAATACTTGAGCTAACATTTGAGAATACTATGCATAAACACAAAATGAAACCAAACAGTTTTGCTTTGAGAAGTGCACCATCATTTAAAAAAATTAAAATTTAAAACAGAAAATCAAACTAAAACACAAATTTACTCAAGCGAGTGGCATGTTCGATCTTCCAAATCACAAATATTGCAATTAACAAAACTTGCACTATAGAATGGAATTTAAACTCATACTTCAATCTGATAAAACTATGTTGAATTTTTGCTAAAATCATAGCGAAGAACTTAAGACACACGACTCAAGCTTTTGTACTCACATCTGCTTATGACTCTCAGATAACAAATGACACAAAACACACAACTCGAGGCTCTATACCGTTAGATCTGACTCTGCGAACCACTATATCCATGTGTTTACCGAAAGGATTCTCGAACCCTATTTATTTTCCCTCCTTTTTGGTTTAATTATATTTTGCAATGCCTATGGGAGATTTATATCTCCCCTTTTGTACAAAGAAAGTAAATATGAGTTTTTTCATTGTTTTATTTTCTACATGGTATCAGAGAAAGGTTAGAGTGTTCCTTCCGATCATTGTTCATATTCTCTAAGGTTATGGTTTTCACTTCCAACCTTATTTTCTTATCATCTAAGATTATGATTTTCATTTTCAACATTTATTCTTATTCTCTAATGTTAGGATTTCCACTTCCAAGCTTACCCCTATGACAGAATTCTCCCTGTAATCACTATGTTGGAGTTCTTTGACTTCAAAAGAATCAACCATAATTAATATTGAAAATTAGACCAAAGGAGAACTCCAGGTATTTCAATCATCAAACCACCTGAACAAAATAATCTACCTTAAATTATACCAAATCATGAACATATTTCTAAAGGAAAAAGGAAAGATCAAACATTTTGTGAATCTACTTCCGAAACACAAAGACCCAAATTGTTATTTTGGAAAGAAATTAATTCCATGATCATGATATGATTGTAGAGCACCATGCTACCTACTGAAAGAAACTAAGTCTGTTTGAAGCTGCTGTAGTTATTTAAAGTAGTTGTGAAGCTGCTGCAGAAGAAACTGTCCTTCAAAAAGTAGTGGTTGCCATTACAATTTTTATTTTTTTTGAAAAAGTCAGACCACAACTTTCTAGCAATCATCGCACTTAGCCAAGTTCAGGAGCAAAACACAAGTTTTAGCCACAACTTTTTGAAAAAGCACATAAAATGCAATTTTTTCCAAGGAAAAAAACAAAGATGTGGTGCGGCACTACCACCACACTACCGGCCCAAACACACCCTAAGATGACATAGTGCAAGTCGTGTGAAATTCCAACTAAATCAGAATAAAAGCTAGACTTATTGATGAAGGAATTGCTACAAATACATGACAACATCAAAGAAAACCATCTAACCAAAAAACTCACCAAAGGATTCTACAGCCCAATATTTAAAAAATCATAAGCAAACTTGAAATAAAAGATCTCTACCATTCAATTTGAGGGAAAGTATTGAATTTCTGCTCCAATCATAGCTAGGAACTTAAGACAAGTTGATCAAGTCTTTGTACAATTGGATATTCTTATGACCCTCAGATAACAAAGAACTTAAGGCACAAGAATCAATACTCTATACAGTTAGATCTGTCTATGACCCTCGGATTATAATACGTGTGCTTTCCTAAAGGACCGTCGGCCCTATTTATTTTTTCCTCCTTATTTGCTTTACTACTATTTTGTAATATGAATGAAAGATGCATATATATCTCCATACTCGTACAAAGAAAAATGAAGATACTTGAGAGTTCTTCCATTGTTTTATTCTCTGTAAGCTACATCATCATTAAGTATTCATAAATAGATGTTTTCCAACAAATCTCATATAAGTTATTTTATCAACCATTTATATATGAATTTTAAGGTCCTTCATGAAGAAAAACTCTGAGTATCATTATACTTAAAAAATATAATAATGATTTCAAAGTATGGATCCAATCCTCAAAGTAAAATGAAAGAGACATCTCTTTTTTTAACAAGCCCAATATTCTTCTCATCATATTATTATAAAACACAATATGAATGCTACAACACAATACAACAATCAAAATATTTATTTATCATCTAAATATAAAAAATATTGATAAATAGTTTAACTACAAGAATGATTTTTGGAGTGTGAGGAATTTGCTTATAACAGTGTATCTTTGAGTAGTCATAGGGATCAAGAATCAATTTTTGACCATAGTTAATTGCAAAGTTAATGGATCTATGAAATAAATTTATTAGAAGAGTACGTAATTTGATCAATACCTTGTAAAACAATACTCCAACAACAACAACAACAACTACAACAACAAAACATTTATCCCTCAAAGTGAGGTCGACTACATGCATCATTTTTCTCCATTGCGCCCTATTTAGTGTCATATTTTCATGTAATTCTAATAAATTAAGATTATTTACATAAGTCGAATCTTAAACATCTACTCTCATAATCGGATCATCAGATGGTCAACGTTTAATGTGACCAAACCATCTAAGAAGACTCTCCTAATTCTGTCCATCATTGGAGCTACACCAACTTTATCACGGATATATTCATTTCACATTTTGTCTCTAATTGCAAAGCCACTCATCCACCTAATCATTCTCATCTCTGCAACACTAACTTATTTTTATGATTCTCTTTTAAATGCCAACATTCAACACCATAGAGCATTGCAGGTTTCACCACCATTCAACACATTCCCGATCCACCTAACTAGCTTCCACCACCCGACGAATACACTTAAGAGGTGTTTACTTGTACTGTTTCTCTTTGTATTGTTATTTCCTATTGTGTTGTGTTGTAACCCTCTGTATACGTTAATAAAAGTATGTTATTGTGTTTCCCACTAT